GTAAATTAAATTAACTCAGAAGCTGCTTGGATTGAAGGGGATTTTAAGCTTGTTTTCCCAAGCAGATGATTTAAGAGAACCTGGAGAACTTGGTCTCAGTCTCAAGCCTCTTAGGCTGGCCTGGAGCAGCTCCCTCTCCTGGAAAAAAGGTTTCCCATTTCCTGGGAGCACTGATACACAATCCCTGGACCACAGAATAAACCTGCAAGGCTTCTCCATTTTCCACATCTAACCACTCCCTGGGAATAGATCCAGTTTTTCAGAGAATCCCAGACTGATCTACGTTGGGAGGGACCCTAAAGCCCATCCCACTCCAACCCCCTGTCATCCCTACCTTCCACTAGTCCAAACCCTGTCCAACCTGGCCTTGAGCACTTCCTTCCATTTCTGACAGCAGAGATCCAATGCTAAAATATCCATGCAAAAGGCAGGCAGATGGTAATACCACGACAGATCCATGGAGAGTAGCTCAGGAATTGCAAGAGGAATCCATGAAATCAAAGCTGAGCCCTTCCTCAGGAACTTGCCCTGCTGATGGATTTAGCAGCTTCAACAAGAGTTAACACCTCCAGGGAAAATGTTAATAGTTGTGTGACAAATGTGGAATATCTGAGGGAAAAAAATTAACAAGAATTCCTATGTTTGCAAGGGAATTGGAGCAGAAAGTGAAGAGGAGTCGGGAATTAAAAACTATTGTCACCTCTGATGCAAATACATGATTGAAAAGAAAATACCTCCAAGCAATGCTGAAACATAAAATAACCTCAGATTTAACACTGAACCCCCTCAAAGAGCAGAATAAATGTGGAGTTTTCCACAAAATCCCAAGTGACCACAGGGGGTGGAAAACATTTCTCCCGAGAAAAGAATGAGTATCTTTGATTTTGAATTTATCTAGAGCTGCTTTTTTTAGCACAACACACACTCAAAATTCAAAATTAGAAGCGAACCCATTAAACAGCAGCTGTGGGTTTGCACCTTCCTATGCTGAAGCAACATTTTGCTGACCAAATATTTGAACTGACAAAACTAATTAGTGCTTTTTAAAGGATCCAGCAAACCAAATCAGAAATGGGTGCGAGAGAATAATTTTTCTGGAATGATCCTTAAACTCCAACACATTAAGCTGGAATTACAAAACACATTCTGGGCACCTTCTGCAGCTGTTTTATCCCATTGTGCAGTCCTGGTTCGTACTGAACTGAACCATGTAAGGATAAACTCAGCCTAAGCTAAACTCTATCCCACTTTTTCTTGTCTCCTTTCCATACAAGCCACAGGCCCCTCTGGATGAGGCCATTCCATGTTGGGTGTGCAACCAGGAATGTCCACCATAAAGGGATTTACTAGGAAACAAAAAATACAACTGTGCCACACAACACAACATTATTATGGACTGTTCCCTGCTGCTTCCAAGGGGAAGAATTCCAGGGAAATTCTTGATCCTTAACCACAACAACAGGTTTCATATCAGTGCCCTCAGGAAGTATTTGAAAGGGAAAAAAGAGCTTTATAGGACAACAGAAAACAAACTTTCCTTCATAATTCCCTAACAGTGTTTAAAAACCCTCCAAAGTGCAGCAAGACAGGAAGAACTGTATAAATTAATATATGGGATTGTTACTAATGAGCATAAATATCTCTAAATAAAAAAAAAAAAACCACAAGTGTCTATAAAACCCTTTGAAAAATCCCTGGAAATGCCCGTTACAAGTTGTTTGTTTACCTGCAATGAGCAAATGAAGCAACAAATACATGGGGGGGGGTTTGATTTGACAGCACTACATTAATTCAGTAACTTAAATGCCTTTACTTTTGTCAGTTTTTCTAACAAAAACTATCCCAAGGGTTGGATGGGGTGTTGACAAAGTTTACAGTGCATGAAAACTGTATAAAGCGCATTAAAAAATACACAAAATAGCTGTGAAGGATGAGTTAAACAGGATAAAACAAGAGGAAGAATTAAAAATTTAATTTCTCCACCTAAACCAGGAAAATTGTGCTTGGCAGACTTTGCTTGGTGAAACCTGTTCTGAACAGAGCCAGCAAAATTAAATAATATATTTAACACTGAATCTAGCTTTGTATGTCCATGTAACCTTCAACACACCACTGTGAAACCCAAGCCTTCCCATGACACGAACTGGGGAATTTGGAGTTTAGTGGCTTGTTCACAACCCCACATTTCATAAGGAAACTCTTAATTCAGGTAACCAAGAGCCACAGGAGAGCAGACAACAGTCCTGAAAGAGAGAAAGTCATTCTAGCTCACTTATTTTCCAATTTCTAAATTAATCCTAAAACATAACTTTTTTGCTTAACTAAAGGCCTTGCCAGTAAACACTTGGGTGAAGCTTACCTTTAAAATAAAGCAATGTTTGATGAAGATTTGGCACCATTAATTCATGTCCTAACAACACCAACTGCATCCCATCCATCCAAATATAATCAATGGATATCCAAAAACATGGATGGAAATCCAAAAATAATGAGATGTGTACTGACCTTTTTAAACTCTGCTTTAAAGGAGAGGAAAATGATCCTCTCCATCCATAAATACCCCAACAGTTCATTTCCATATTTCCAATAATTCCCATTATTTCTTTTAGTTATCTGATTTCCTGCATCAAAGTAGATTTCCTAGGGGAATTGTAGGATATTTTTATCCTCCTAATGGAGCAGGAATTGTGCAGAGGTTCTGAGGTGGAGAGGACCAGAGCACCAACCCCTGGTGTATCTGTCACAAGGTAGACCTCAAATTCCATACTCTCACATCCCTGAAAACACATTTTCTCCAGATTTAACAAAATCTCAGTTTTTCTCATTAATTAAATTAGTTAAAACCTCCATGTTTTAAATCTGCACCATCCCTGCCAGCTTCCTTTGCTTCCCTCTGCACTTGGAACTCCCTCCCTCCAAACCAACCTGCTGCAAGATCCTGTTTTTCTCCTCGCACCACAACCTTTGGAGGCAGAATTATGAAATTCCCTTCAAAAGTATCCCATTTGCAACCCATTTTCTCCCCTTGACTCAGGGAATAAGGGTTGTTCTTGCCCGTTTTATCCTTTCTACTTGCCATCCACATCCTTAAGTCAAACTTCTCCCACAGCTCCCAAAACGTGCTCTCAACTCCTGCTTGAAAGATTTAAGAGTATCCCAGATTTTCCATCACCTGGAGCAGGGATTCAAGTCCCTCAGCAGAGCTCACCTACTTCACAGGGATACCTGCTGCTGAGAAATCCCATTTCACAGAATCGTGGAACACCCTGGACTGGAAAAAGGGACCCACCACAAGGATCATCAAAGTTCAACTCCGACTTAGGAATCCAATTCCCAAAAATTCCAAAACACCTCTCTCCCCCAGCCACGCTCTGAGGTACCAGATGGAAAAGGTTCTTGACACTCCCTCCCAAAACTGATGGCAAATGGATTTGGAAAAAAGGGCTGGAGAGTAATCCCGGGACCTGTCACCTCCCCTCAGCCCTGAAGATACTCCGGGCAGTGCTGGAGAAGCCTGATCCAGGTGCTGCTTCTCCTGGAGCACTGGGGAGTAGGGCCACCCCTTCCTCCAGACCCCCAACATGACCCCCCTCTGCCTCCAGACCTCCCCAAAACGACCACCTCTCCCTCTACACCCAGTATGAGCACCCCTTCTTCCAGACGCCCAAATACCGACCACCCCTCCCTCCATATCCCCCAAAATGAGCCACCCCCTCCAAATAACGAGCACCTCTCCCAATGCGACCACTCCTCCCTGCAGACACCCCAAAAACAAGCCCCCCTCCCTCCCTCCACACCCCCCAATCCGTCCCTCCAGGCCCTGCAAGTATGAGCCCCCCTCCCTCCAGACCCCCCAATAATGACAACCCCGCTCTCCAGACACCCCAAATAACGAGCACCCCTCTCTCCTGACCCCCAATACATGCCTCCAGACCCTACAAACGCTCCTCCCTCCACATCCCTCGAATACGAGCCCCCCCTCCGGACCCCCCCAACACAAGCCGCCCTCCCTCCAGACCCCTCAAAACCAAGCATCCCTCTCTCCAGACCCCCCAATCCGAGCTCCCCCCCAGACTCCTCAATACGAGAGCCCCTCCCTCCAGACCCCCCAATAAGCACCACCTCCGTGTACACCCCTCAAATACGAACACCCCTCCCTCCACACCCCCCAAAATGAATCCTCCTCTCTCCAGACCCTCCAAAACGACCGCCCCTGCCTCCAGAGCTCCCCCTCTGCTATAATCCTCCCCTCCAAACTCCCCCCGGCCCCTTCAGTCGCCCTCGCCCTTCCCCCGCCTACCCCATGCGCATCTTGGAGCCCGACTGGCCGCCGCCGCCGGGCAACGGGGGCCGCGGCGAGAGGCGGCCCAGGTGCAGCTGCTTCTCCAAGGCCGACATGACGGCGAGGGACACACCGGGAATACCGGGATACACCGGAACCCCCCGAGCCGCCCCCGCCCGCTCCGCCCCGCCGGAAGCGGCCTCCGTCGACAGCGCCGCCGCGCGGCACCACGGGAAACACCCGCGTGGCATCATGGGAGATGTAGTCCGAGGCTCCGCTGCGCTCTATGGAGCGTGGTGCATGACGGGAGTTGCAGTCTACCGCCATGGCGGCAGTTGTGGGGAGGGATGCGGCACGGGGGTGGGGAACGAGCGGCCGATCTGGGCCCCGGCGGAAGGGAGGTGTGGAGCGGGATAGAAGGATGGAAGGGTTCTGGGGTGTGACAGGGGAGTCACGGGAGCGCGGAGTTGCCGGAAGGGAGGTGGCGGGGGGCCCGTGGCACCATGGGAAATGTAGTCCGCAGCGCCGCAGTGCTCTGCGGGGCGTGACGGGAGCTGTAGTTCCCCAGGGTGCGGCAGCGGCGCTCGGCGGGCGGGGACGAGATGTGGTCCCGTGGTGTCCTGGGAAATGTAGTCCGTGGTTCCGCTGGTCTCTATGGGGCGCGGTGCATGACGGGAGTTGTAGTCCCCCGCCGGGGCGGCCGTTGCCGGGCGGGAGGCGCGGGCGGGATGCGGCGGAGGGAAGGTGTGAAAGGGGATGGGAGGGCGGAGGGAAGGTTTGGAGGGATCCTGGGGGGATGGAAGGGCGGCGGGATGGGGCGAAAAGCGGCGTGGGAACTAGGGTGGCCACTGACGCCGCCTGTCCCCACAGGTCCCGGCGCCCCCCCCGCCGCCACCAGCCTCCCGCCGCTCGTCCAGGGCCCGCCGCGCTGCTTCCTCCGCTGCACCGTGTCCAGGGTGGTCTGGGCGGCCCCAAAACCGCCCGTCGTCGTCCGCCTGAGGTGGTGGGGGGAAACCTCCGGCGGCACCTTGTTCCAGCCCGCTTCCCGGCCCGGGCGTCCCGCCGGGAGAACCACCGCCCGCTTCCCGGTGCGCTGCGGGCCCCGGCAGTTCGCTGCGTACTTGGCAGGTAGGGACATTTCGCGTGGGAGACCCGCTAAAGCCGAGGAGTTTATTAGGAGTAGGTTAGAACAAGAGGACATAGGCTTAGGCTGCGCCAGGGGAGGGTCAGGTTGGACATCAGAAGGAATTTCCTCATGGAAACGGTTGTTAAACATTGGAAGAGGCTGCCTAGGGAGCTGGTGGAGCCCCAGCGCAGGAGGTGTTCAAGGAACGTGGTACCCAGTGCTCTGCCCTGGTTCACAAGATGGGGATCAGTCGCAGGGTGGACTCGATAGTCTCCAGAGATCTTTTCCAACCCCAGCTGTTCTGTGATTCTGTGGATTTTGGTATTATACATACAGGCATTTCAGTGTCTGAAGGCGTGGAAAATAGAAAGGTACTCAGCTGAGCTTGTAAGGTTATTAAGGTGCTTAATTTAGTGAAAGATATGCAGGAAATTAATGCAAGCCTAGTGTCCAGAGTCTGTCCGTAAAACCTGTGCTGGCTGTTGCTACTCATAGAATCCCAGACTGGGAGGGACTGTAAAGCTCATCCAGGTCCACCCCCTGCCATACACTAGACCATGTTGCTCCAAGTTCCATCCAACCTGGCCTTGGACACTTCCAGGGATGGGACAGCTTCTCTGGGCAACCTGTGCCAGGGCCTCCCCACCCTCACAGGGAAGAATTCCTTCCCAGTATCCCATGTAACCCTGCCCTCTGGCAGTGGGAAGCCATTCCCCCTTGTTATGTTATTTCTTTTACTGGTAATCTTGTGTTTATTTATCACATAGCAGTAATAATATCTGTAGTGACTCTTCTTTCCCTGATGTCTCATTATTATCGTTTCCATATAAAACATAACAACCTCTGACATCTCTGTCATTTTAATCAAAAAGTGTTAATTGTGACCATGAGGCTGACCTGAAACTGTTCCTAATTTTCACAGATATGGGTGTGCTTGTCCTGGAGGTTCTGACCAAGCTTGACCACCTCCCCATTGGCAAAGTGCAGATCACCAAACTGTCCCAGCTCTCTCCCAGCCATCCCATCAAAGGGTCTTTCCCCTTGGTATCACCAACATCTGCTAAACTCGGAGAGCTGCAGGTAGTCCTGATGTCTGTGCTCTTTATTATAAGTTATGTTATTATAAATTATGTGTATAATCAAGTGCCAGGATCAAGCTGTACATGGCACACTGCAGACCTAATCTCTGTCCAAGGCATTTCTGAGCTAAGGTAGCAAGTGAAAAATAAATATTGGTGGTTTTGACTCTGTTTTGTTTAGAGGGATGTGTGGTAGTTCAGCTTGATAAAGAAAATGTCATCTGTACGCTGAGAGTGAGTTTTTGCAGGTGGATTTAAAAATGGATCCTCGATTCTAACACTTCACTGGGCTGGAATTGTAGGAGATTTTGAAATCTGGAATGAGGAAAGTTCTGTCCTGCAGCCCTGGCTCTGGAGAATTGATGCTGAAAGATAATTGTCTGAGATTGGAAAACATGGAGTGGGAAACAAATACTTGTAAATCATGTCAGAGTTATGCTAAATATAAATATTACTTCATGTGGAAGAGCAACAGTTTTTCATGGCACGACAAGTAAAGTTGAATACAGTATGTGCTGCACTTAGCTAAGAAAAGAACAAAGTAATATTTTCACCTTCTGTCTTTCAGGTCTCGCTGGTTCTAGAACCTCTGCCAGAAGTGTACGACACCAGCACCACCACAGAGGGAAGTCTGGACCCTGCTCCTGCTCAGGGAAGCAGCAAGTCCCAGCTTACTGCTCCATCCCAGCAGCCCAGGCACACACAGGTGGCTGTTGCTGACCCAGAGTCTGTTGACAACAGCAAAACCACAAGCCCCAGGTACTCTTTTTTTTTTCTGCCATGACAAAGTTCTGGTTTATTTTGCAGTTCACACACATTTTTTTTGTAATAACTATACGCTTGTGAGTTATGAAATGCTTAATCTTTTTGAACGTGTATGTTACATGAAATCCAGAGTGTTGAAGGTTTCTGAGCTTACAGGGGCATTTTGTCATCTGGCAGAAATTTGCATCCTATGTTGACTTAGTTCAAGCCACGCTGGTTCACACAAGAGGTGCAACAAATCACAGAATGGTTTGGGTTGGAAGGGACCTTAAAGCTCATCCAGTTCCACCCTTTGCCATGCGCAGGGACACCTTCCACTAGACCAGGTTGCTCCAAGCCCTGTCCAACCTGGCCTGGAACACTTCCAGGGATGAGGCAGCCATAGCTTCTCTGGGCAACCTGTGCCAGGGTCTCCCTACCCTTACAGGGAAGAATTATCTCCTAATATCTAATCTAAACCTACTCTCTGTCAGTTTGAATCCATTCCTCCTTGTCCTGTCACGACATGCTCTTGTAAAAATATCTTCTAAAAAGATGTAAGTCTTTTACCTGCAGCTTGAATTGGACCTCTCATGGTCTAAATGGCAGATGAGGACTCATGGACATAACATCACATTTCTTTTTGGAGCATTTGAAGAGTTTGGAATCTCTTTACCCACCCACTTGAGTTGTTACTGAAGTAACATTTCATTTTTCAGTAGAGGAAAGGACCATTTGCTCTTCCAAGAGAACTCTGAAAACGTAAAGGACGCTCCTGCTTCTTATCACCCTGGGAGTTTACCAGATGAGCTTTGGAAAATGAATCCTTCAAATCCTTCCCTGTTGTTTCCCCCCAGCACCAATACTGGAATGAACACACGGATGCTCTCCATGAACAACCCAGCTACAAAAGACCTGCTGTCAGGTTTGTGTGCAACTGGCATTGTCTTTGAGGTTCACAACAAACAGCTGTTGGTAATGTTTCCAGTGCTTCTCCAGAGCTGAGATTTTCTGAAGGAAAAGGGATCCTTTTCGCACCCTCTCACTGTATTATGTCAAAGATAATTTTTATATTTTTTCTTTGCTTAAAAACTGCTGGTTTAGTCTTGTTGGAAGGTGACTGCAGTATCCAGCTCAGGGAAAACACGGTGGCCCAGCAGGATTCCTGGGCCTGGAGGAGTAAAAGAAAAGGAAACTCAGCTTCACAGGCTCTTTTAGTCTTTGAGATGTCTTTTGAAGTGACTGTCAGAACTGCTGCTCCTGTTCAGGGGGGTTTTGGGAGGGTTCCTATTCTATTGGCATTTTCAGGTGGAAAACTATTTCCATCCTTTTTAGACCACAGGCTGCCTGGACTGGATTGATATGAGCATCAGAGTAGGGCACATTTCCATATATACTGTGTTTTGAGCTTCATGTTCACAGAAAAGACCTAAAATCAGACATCGTAAGGTGACAAACGACTCTTCCCTAAATTAGTTTTGCTTCTATATCCTAATAATGCCTTTCCAATGCCCGACTTGGTGTGTGTGGGTGAGTTGTTTTTACGGCTCTGAGTGGGAAACCGATGCAGGATCACTCTCACTGAGCTGTTTTTTGGTGTGTAAGACATGTTTAGTCCCCAGTGTGTTAAGATCTTTTTATAACAGCAGAAAACAGAAGTTTCTTGGCTGTCATCGACACATTTATTGTGTTTACATGTTGCTTTTAAATCGCATTTGAATGCTGAAATATAAATCTTTCTGCTTGTTTCCCAGCTCTCTTGGATCAGGGCAGGAAACTCCGGGATGCCATGGTTGTCTCTGCAATGAAATCCAGCCCTGACATGGAGATTGAACTGAATAAAGTGGCTCCATTTATGGAGAGAGAGGATTTTAAAGCATCAACAAAGTGAGCTTGGAATGGGGGAAGTGAGATTTAAGTTCCAAACTATACATTTTGAGGCCTTATCAGGAAAACTTGAAATACCCATATTCATGGGATGTGTTTTAGGATTCTCATTCAAATGGAAAATTAAATTCTACCTGTGAATAAAGCCTAAATTTTGTGAATTTATTTTAATCTTGAAGTAGTAAGCCTTGATTTAAGTAACTGATTTTAATTTTGTTTTGTGGTATGTTTGTATTTAGTTGATAAGGAAACATTGATATGAAATATTAAATATTGATAAGGAAATATTAATGATGAGGAAATTGATAAGGAAATATTAAGTGTTGGTAAAGAATAAGAGTAGTGTAAGGAATTGCAAGTGAAATGGTTACTTCATCACAAAGAACAGGTTTTCAAATAAGTAAATTGGATACTTTTTATTATATATTTTATTCTATATATTATAAAATAATGCACAGTAATAATAATATAAAATAATAAACTATACAATTATGTAAAATAATATATATAAATAGTATATATTATTTTTACATGTTTTGTTTTATATTCTAATTTGTATCTCCTGATGTCAACATTCCCATGAAAATTTGCATCTATATAACTGTGTTCTCATAATTATTAGTCATTATCTTCTTCTGCAAGATTTTTCTCAGCAGATTGGGAAAAAAAAGTGTTGGTGCCTTTTCAGCTTCTAACTCCACCTTTGTTTAGCATTAGACTTAATAAATATTCTCAGTTCAATGATATTTAAAAGTATTAAAACAAATGCATATTTTTTTTAAATAGGAGAAACTTCATTTCCTTGTTTTATTTCTGGAAAAATACAAATATTTCATGATCTTTTGTGATAACCAGAAAGTAATGTCATTATCTTTGGCAGTCAGTGATGCTATTGCAAACCCAATTTAAATTATTTCTGGTCAGACTAATACTATTTATTTAAAGTAGATGATTTTGGACTCTGCAGGAAAAATTGATAGACCAATTAATGGATTAATGGATTGATCTTGAATTCCTTTTACTGTTTAATATCTTTATTTTTCCTTTTACCCTCTGTGCTTCCATCACTGTTATCCAGGAGCCCCAAAAGCTTGAAGTCCAGTTTGGTGCACCCTCCTGAAGATTTCCATCACCTTGAATCTGCAGTTTCAGAGCAGCAATTTGATCTAAACTCTGAAGAAAGAGCAATCCAGTTGCTGCTGGGCAGGTGAGTGTGATGCACTGGGGGTTATTACTGCAAAGTTGTCCTCTTTTGACCATTTTATACTAAAAAATATGTCTTGACTCCTGAAGTTCTCCACATTTTTGGGAATGTAACCAATGTGCAAGTGATGGAGGTGTTTTATGCCTCAGCTTTAATGCAGGACAGCCTGGAAAGCTTCAAGTCATGTTGATTTAAAAGAAAAATTAATCAAAATCTTTGATAAAACTGAATTTTTTAATGGTTGTTACTGTTGTATCCTAAAATGTTACTAAGTATATAAAACAAATACACCGTTTCTTTGAAGAAGAAACAGTAAATTAAAATTACAGAGAACCAATAGTTATTTTTCAACTTCCTCCAAAAATTAAAGTAACATTTTTCTCTCATTTTGTGTAGCAGTAGAATAAATGCTGCTTCCATTGTGCCCAAATCAGGGGCGTGAAGCATCCTCAACAACACAGTTTCTGGGTCAGATATTCAGAATTTCAGTTCATGTATCTTGTGCCCTGCACTTATTTTATCCCTGTAGTTTATCACTGGATAACACTGGAGTGTTTGCAGATCATAAAATGATTTTGAACTCACAGCACAGAGAAAACCCTTTAAACCAAACAAACCCCAATTTGTTCCAACCATGTTCTAAAAATACTTGGATTTACCTACTCAGATATAGTTTGTTTGTTTTTTTTAATTTAAATAAACTGTTCTCAAGTATTACTGATACCTTAAACCAAAAGTTATAAAGCAGTTAAAGATAAAAATTAGATTACTAAATTAGATATTAATAGATATATTTTATTATGAAAGTCACCAAGGGCTGGAGTCAGTTACCCACAGAGATTGTGGAACCTGCAGCTTGGGAGATACTCAAAATCCAACAGGATGATTTTTATTTGCATCATTTCCCTTTGAGCAGGGGTTGGACAAGATGATCTCCAGGGATCTCTTCCAACCTGCAATTCACACACAGTTTTTTCCTATTGGATCCACAGATGTTACTATGGGATAACCCTTCAGGCTGGGTTACAGACTGGCTCCAGCTGGTATAAAAGAGGCAGTATTGTCCAGATTCCTTAGAAAATATCTCCAGAACTGGAAAACTAAGCTATGTTTCTCTCTCTTTTACCCACAGTGCTGATTTCTCTCCGGGGCATTTGTGGGATCGCACAGGATCCCTTTGGGATTCCCTCTCTCTTGGGAGTGAGGTGTATGACAGTGAACTGGAGGATCCCCATTATGACCAGAGTCTGCTGGAGAGACTTTTTTACACAACTCCTGTAAGTGGAGATCCGAAGGAAAATGTGCATTCCCTGATGGGAAGAAAACCAGAAGTTTGCATAATCAAAAATTCAACAGATCTCAGGATTTTAAGTCTGGATAAACGTTAGGTATCATACAAAGGCTTGTGAGTACATGAGTACTTTGCTTAAAATTAACTTTTTTAAAATACTGTCAAGACTACAGAGTCAAGCACCAAGTTTGGAAATTGCTCAGGAAGAATTGTCCAGGAAGACTTTTTTTTTTTTTAAACTGCTGAAAAATTTTGATACCATTTCAATTGTTTCAAGTTAAGCAATCCTCAAGTTGGTGTTCTTTTTAACATATGTATCATGACTATTATATATCTCTCCAGACGATGCTAATTAACTTTTTATTTATGTGCCTTATTTCTGTTTCAGAAATCTGATTCCAGTTTAAGTGATTCCCTCAGTGATGATGATGTTAAATCCTCAAACAAAGCATTGAAGACAGAAACTCTCAGGAAACCTAATCCAGCAAATCCACAGAAAGACTTTAATGCCTTTGATCAGAATGTGACAGAAACTAAACCCAGGTAAATAGTTACATTAGTGCCTTCTGTTCTGACCTCATCTAATTGTATTCCCTTTTTTGCATGACAGAACCAATAAAAGTGTCCCAAAAAATCAAGCTTCATTTGTGTAATAGAATTAGTATTAAGGTGTTATGGCTCATTTTTTTAATAATTCAGCTCCAAACAATTATTTATTAATTTTTTTCTTGCAAATACTGCTATTTTTACAGTCAGGCCAACTTCATATCTCCAGAGATACCAACACAAAACCATTTACATGTCTTACAAATTACACAACTGAGATTCTAAATTATGACTAAAATCCTGGTGCTGTTCCTATGCAGCAGAGACTTTTTCTTGTGTATAACTGTGTCATCTCCCCAGTTTTGTACATGACATTGAATAAAGCTTTTCTTTTTGAAGAGTTAACATAAGATTTTTCCAAATCAACAGTGTGGAACATGCACTTTGTGGGTTGATTTTTTTCAGTTATGTACCCCGGGTATTGTAACATTTCTGTTACAGAGAGTACCAAATTTGTTGTACAAATGCATTTGAAACACACATTTTTAAAATAACATCCCACCAAGCTACAGTTTTCCCTTCATGTGGTCATGTTAAAGATGTTTCTGTATCCTGAGTCTCATTTTCCTCTCTCCAGGTGCTCCCCCACTGCTCCTCCAGAAGATCACATCACATCCTTGGATTCAGACAGGTTGGCATTTCTGCAGCAAATACACCTGGCCAGAGTCATCATTGACAAACTGAAAATCCCTCTTAAGAGCATCCAGATTTACCAGAGGAAGAAAGATTTAATGGGAAAACCTCCACGACCTGCATCTGTTAATAAGTGGTAAGAGGGATTGTGTCTTCCGAGCTTGTTTCCTGTGCCTTTAAGGTGATTTTCCTTGAGACTTGTTGAGTTGTCCAGCTTCCCTGAGTTCTCCAGGCTTCTGAGGTCTTCCTATTTCTCTGCTTCTCTCAGGAAATTGTATCCTGTAAACTTGTTAAAGATGTGACTAATTTATTCTGATGTGGCCTCACTTCAGGCTGTGCTTTTCCAGGGGTTTTGGGGAGGTCCAAATGTACACTGAAAACAAGAGGTTGTATTGGTGGAGAACCTGTAATGTGGAAAAAATTCAGAAAATAGGTGGTTCAGTTATCCTAAAAAAAAGAGTGGCAGTGTGAACATGGAATTTGCCTGCTGTGTTCACTTTTATTACATACAGTTTTTAATAGATCTTTGATGGATTTTATTTTTTAAATTATTTTTTAATTTGATTTCTGATGGACTGTGATCATCCATTCACTTTTTTATTCACAGCACTTTCTTTGTGGAGTACCACTTTCCCATGAGAGTCTCCAAGGATGATAAGGGACAGGTCTCCATAAAAACAGAAGTAATTCGAGTAGCCTCAAGTAAAATCACAGATGATGGTAAGGGCATTATTTTTCCCCCTTATGTTTAGTTTTGTTGACTCTTTCATCTCTTAGAAATTATTTAGTTGTGTTTCTATTTCTTTTGCTGCCTGAAAGTCATGATTAGTATGATTAGTGTAGAGTATGATTACTGTAGAGTTGCTGTGCTGCAGGTGGTGGAATGGTCCTCTCAGGAAGAGGGAACCCAAGTGATTTTTGAATTATTTTTTTTCTTCAAAAAGTATTGTTATTAGGATTTTCAAATTTTTTCTTAGGGAAAGAACAGCGAGTCAATAATCCCATTCCTTCATTTCAACATAAAGCAAATATCCTTTCTGCCATAGTAAGAGGAAGATAAATTACTTTTAGAAATATCAGAGATGCTTATACCTCAAATAAATGATTTTCCAGATGATGTCATGTAAATCTCCAAGAGCTCAGGTAATCTGTTGGATCCAAGGAATTCTGAGTCCTGTGCTCAAATCAGACCTCTCACTTTTCTGAGAGTCACCAGTGTTTGTATCTCTAGAAACAATTCCTGTCTTTTTCCCCTGAGCAGAGAATGCTTTAGAAGCAATGCTGTCTTCCCACAAACTGGAATTCCAGAGTGACTTTCAAATGCCTCTCCAATGTGGTCATTCATTGACTTTGCATCTTTCTGAGATTCTGAGTTCTCTTGTATATTCTCCATTTGTGGCCAGACAAAACATCTGTTTCTTCTGAACCTCCAGCTCATCCATCCTCCTGCCCTTTGCCTTGTGTAGAGTCCAGCTCTTTGGAGCCTAGAAAAACAGACTGTGCTGAAAATAATTTGGAGAAGACATCAAGAAAATCCACTGCATTATCCTTCCTGAGAGCTGTTTATCTCACTTATTAAAGATGCCCAATAGAAAAATTCCAGAGTCATCCCAGACAAGCTGTATTGAGAAAGTTTCCTGATGTCTAATCTGTGTTTTTGTCATAACAAGAGTACTTCTTTATCCATTGTGAACAAGTGAAAAATAGTACTTGAACACTGTTATTGTGCTTCTTGTGCTCTTTTTGCAGACTTTCATTCCATGTTTTCTTGCAGATGTTCCTTTTCTCCTGAAGCTGTGATTTCTCTTGCAGCTCAGCTTTGACTCTCTCAATGAATACTTTGAACTATATAACTCATAATGATACAGAGTTCTCCCACTGAAAAAAGGGCAAGACTTATTGTATACAGATGACAGAGACTTGGTGTCAACTGCAGCCTTTGAATGCTGTTATAATCTTAATTATAATCTTAATTTTGTCCTCCTGTTCTTTTCGGGCCTTGGAAAATGAAGAACAGTTTACTTTGACCTTGGTGTTAATAAATTATGCAAAATTAAATGATTGTGTGTGTAACAGAGTGGTCTCCAGGGGGAAGTTTATTTATATTCATTTACTTTGGAATATTTGTTGCTCCTGTCTTCCAGGGGTGAAATTCCAACAGCGATCTGTGTTCCCTGTCCGTTTTGGTGGAACAATGATAGAGCACTGGTGGGACTCTGACCTTGCTTTTAAAATCTACATGAGGAAAAGCACCCAGAAAAAGGTATTGATTAGTTGTTGTTTCTACTTTGTGTCTTGAAAAACAAAGAATTCCTGGCATTTTGATTTCCCACACACACTTAATGCAGACAACCAAATATTAAGAAGGGAAGTGCCATTATGTGCAGATAATATAAGTTGAACTGATTGCTGTTCTATCATCACAGAATTCCAGAATATCTTGAGTGGGAAGGGACCACTAGGATCTAAGTCCAACTCCTGGACTATAAAATCCCACCCTGTGCCTGAAAGTGTTGTCCAAACACTCCTTGAGCTCTGTCAGGCTTGGAAGTGACCACTTTCCTGGGGAAGCTCGTTCCAGGCTCGTCACTCTTTGTCACTCCATTCAAGGATTTTCTGAGTTTGAAACCGACAGGCAAAAAAAATTGTCCTTCCCTCATCTTTAAAACTGATCTCTTCTTTTTAAAAACATTGGATCAATTATAAGCATTGTTCTTCAGTGAGAACACAGCTCATTTAGCAACACAAAATGAGTTCCTGTGGATGCAGTTTGTATCTTTACCCTGCCCAGGTTAAGAGGAATAACATGAGCTGTGAAAAACTGATGTAACTTGTGCATTTGGGGGGAAAAAGTGCATTTCTGTTCACTAAGATTATTTTTATAATCATCTACCTGTGATGAAGAGGGGAGAGGGGTTAACTCAGCTTATGTTGGATTTTAATCAGCACTAAGGGTATGTGCTTTTCTTTTAACAGGTGAATAAATTGCATCTTTAAGTATGGAAATTTTGCTCAGTTACTAGGATTTGGGATGGCAATTTTTTGCCTTAATCTGGAATTCTTTTACAGTAGATTCTGGGAGTTGTCTTACTGTTGTTCTAGTAATTGGAACTAGGGGAAATTTTCCAAATCCCTGTTGGTACTACTAATGTTGTGGGAGTGAGGAGTCTGTGTGGCTGCCCATGGCTTCCCAGAAAGCTTTTGTTTCACAGAAGTCCTTTAAACCTGACAAATCTTGCAAAATGGATTCTTTGCCTGTCCTCAGCCCGTGGCCATTGGCTCAGCAGTGCTTCAGCTCCGCAGGGTCATCCAGGCCAAGCTGCTCAGTGTCAGCTGGGAAATACCTGTGGAAAAAGAGGGAGATCACCCACAAGTTGGACCACTTACGGTACGTGTTTTACCGTCTCGAGTTTGTTAAGCAACCTCTTACTACTAATTTTGGCTGCACACTCCTTTTTTTCCCTCCTCTGTGTTTTCTCTCTTTGTTTTAATTTGCTGGGTCTTGGATATGGAGGTTTGTTAGACCAAAACAAGATAATATGAACTTTTTTTATTCCTTGAGGGTTTGGAGAAATATTTTGAACCTCCTGCATGTCTAAGGATGTTGTCAATAAGGTGGGGCTTGGATACAGAAACCACTCTACAGGCAAATTTTGAGGGGCACATGTATAGGGCTGGGAGCTCTGCCTTCTGCTTCACATGTGGCAGGAGCTGATGTGCAGCCTGGTGTTCCCCGTCCTTGGTACCACCTTGTCACTTCAGGAGTTATTTTTTCCAGTCAAAGTTTCTACTCAGCTCCTTGTTGAGAAGGATTAAAACTCCTGCACAGCAGATTTGCCAGTTCTGAAGATAAAGAGCTCTCTAGATTAGCAGCTGAAGGCTTAAGAAAGTATGGTTAGGTGTGGGAAGTGTTGAAGGCAGGGAGGAGAAATGGTGTGTTTATTCAAGGAGAGAATGGAGTGCAATAGGGTGTGAGAGATGAAAAGTAGAAGATGTCGTAGGAAATTAATGAACCAAAGTTCAATGCAAGAACTTAGCGAAGGAGAAGTTAATACTTCAAGAAAACTGATTTTGGTTGCCCTGTGTGCTGGGTTTCAGGTGCACAGTGAAATACCTGATTATTTTGTTTTCCTTATTTGGTCATTTTGTGGCTCAAATCCTTTGCTGTATTCTGTTACTTTATCTTCTGGACCTCAGTTTATTCCTCTCCTTACTGCCTTGTCACCTGAATGCATCCAGCAAATCTATGGTGCTCTGTAGCAATTAACACTTGCAAATAGCTAAAATCAGCAGGCAACGTAAAAGTGAAAGAGCAATGACAGAAAACATTTAGAAACACTTATTTTTCCTAATTTTTCTCAAGCAGCATGTGCTGTAGCAAAGTGGAGCAAGTGACAGTTGTGATACTTTGTCACAGTACTTTTCACCTTGGCTGGGTAGGGGTTCATTTTCAGCCAGCTTTAGGCTTGGGATTGGTTTAATTTTTTACTTTATTCAGAGAAGGGTCACCAAGATGATTAGAGGGATGGATCACCTCCTGTGAGGAAAGGCTGAGAGAATTAGGATTGTTCATACTGGAAAGGGGAAGGCTTTGGGGTGACCTAATTGTGGCCTTCCAGTACCTGAAGGAAATGTGGAGAGAGACTATTTACAAGGGCCTGGAGTGACAGGGCAAGGGGGAATGGTTCAAATTGAAATAGAGTAGGTTTAGATTGGATATTAGGAAGGAATTCTTCCCTGTGAGGGTGGGGAGGCCCTGGCACTGGTTGCCCAGGGAAGCTGTGGCTGCCCCATCCCTGGAAGTGTTCAAGGCTGCATTGGACAGAACTTGGAGGTACCTGGTCTAGTAGAAGGTGTCCCTGCCCATGGCAGGGGGTGGAACTGGATGAGCGTTAAGGTCCCTTCCAACCCAAACCATTCTCTGAATCATCTGTAATTGTGTGGTTTTGAACTCCAGTTTGGGCTTTATTTATTAAAACCACATGTTTATTTTGCAGTGACAGCTGTAGCTTGTAACCAGCACATGCCTTAGGGTGAGACAACACAGCTCTTGAGCAAAGCATGAGATATATTTTCCATAGTTTCTGTTGCAGTCCCTTGCTTTGGGATGGGGCACACCCGACCAGCCCACTTGGCCTTACCTTGCAGGGATTCTTAGAGCTTGCAGCCGACAACAAGGACTTCACCTGCACAGCTGCCAGGTCAGCTCCTGCTGGGCATGGAGCCCTAGCTCATGCTGTGAGAAGTCCCCAGCTGGAATTCCAGGAGTCCAACAGGATGAGTGCAAATGCAGAAGGCCCTCACTGCTTGAAAACAAGCTCTGAAGATTCCCAGAAGGGAGGAGTGGGCAGCAGGAAAGTCGCGGCCCAGGATGTGCTGACCCAGATAACCCCATCTGAGGGAGATGGGTTATTGCTGCACGTGCTACTGATGGTGCCTGATGGGAAGGATTTTATTGCTGGAGACAAGGGGCTCCCCAGTTCTTGCAATGTGTATTTAAACTGCAAACTGCTCAGCACTGAGGGGGCAACGAGATCCGCTGTCGTGTGGGGCTCAACACAACCTGCCTTCAATTTTTGTCAGGCAAGTCACACATTTTCCATTTCACACTGATGATTCCACACTGACAAACACATTTCATAGATAAATTACTTTTATGTATGTAGGAATATCTCTACTGGACTCTGTTTAATATATCAGAAAGTATTTTCAGTATTGTTTTGACTGGATTGCAGTTTGAAATGCAGTTCCTTGAATCATCTAAATAATAAATGAGGCCTTTGAACTATGAAGGAGAAACAGTCAGAAAAGTTTAGGTTAAAAATGAAAAAAAATGACTTTTTTTTTTATTTCAGAAAGAAAACATGTTGATGGTGACATCCTAATATGGAGATGTAGAATTTTTATGTGTGTTGCATTGTGCTCTTTTTCTTCTCAGTGAACATATCAGAGGCTTACTGGCCTAACATGAGCCAGAGCTGTCCCCCAGCAACCAGCAGAATTTCAGGCATTCAGTAATGTTATGACTTTGTAATTTTTATTGATATTTTCCTTTGGAAAAGTCAAGATGCTCAAACGCATTTGTTTTAACGATAGCGATTTGCAAGACTCTTCAGCTGAAAGAAACGTAAAAACAGAGCAAACCACGTCTGAAACAGTTGTGTGAAATGATTTATGTGTTGTTTAGTAAACAGGCATTTGAAGGTAAAGCAAAGTTTTTTAACATTACACGTGATCTTGTGATAAAATTTATCTAAATTGGATGTTCCATTCCTGTAAGTGTCCAAGGCCAGGTCGGACAGGGCTTGGAGCAACATGGTCTAGTGGAAGGTGTCCCTGCCATGGAGGTGGAACTAGATGACCTTTAAGGTCCCTTCCAACCCAAACCATTCCATTATTTATTTTCCTGGCTAGCTCTTTTCCAAGGGTACCAGTTTTCTGAATTTCCTTAGGCAAATGCACATTTAATTTTCAATTTCCACCTCTGAAAAGCACAATTCTGTAGACTGGAATAATGTAGTGTTACCAGAATGCTCCTGACTTAGCCAGTATTTTCCAGTTTATTCTGAATGCTAATTCTGTGTTAAACCCTTCCAGGTGATGCCTTTTCCACTGAGTTCCAAACGTTTGGAGAGGCTGAAAGACAATGTCATGATTATTGAAGCCTGGAACAAGCTGGGAAGCACTGGCTGTGACAGACTGCTGGGATTAGTGAAACTTCCTCTGCATCAGTTTTACATCTCATTCAAGTAAATATCTTTTTTTTTTTCCATATTTTATTGGGTTGGGAAATATCCTCACTGATGCTGAGGGAAAGAAGTCATGGATGGTGTCTGAGGGTTTTGTGGGAGGGTTCTTAATGACACTTTTTATAGCAAAAGGCATTTTTGCCCTGGTAAACTTCCTATAGTGAGCACTGTATGAGTAAGTTACACTGTCCTTGTCCAGAAGTACAAGTTCTTTGTTCTTTTTGGGTTTAATCTTTTGGCTTCTTGTTCAGTCAATAAATATACCTGCTTAACACAGTTTAAATTAATGGAAATACTGGACAGAAGAGATTCTTTCTGATACAAAGGATTAATTCCTTTTATTTTGGTCAGACTTAGTGGTGGGTGTAAAACATATGGTGCTGGAACTGGCTGAACACCACTTTGTTAGTTATTACTGTGTCATTTGTGTAGTTTTTTCAGTAATCCACTGTATTTTACTTGTGCATATCTTACAATCCCAGAATGGTTTGGGTTGGAAGGGACCTTAAAGCTCATCCAGTCCCATCCCTTGCCATGGGCAGGGACACCTTCCACTAGACCAGGTTGCTCCAAGCTCCATCCAACCTGACCTTGAATATCTTCAGTGTGTTATTAGAGATTTTTACATTTTTTCTAGGAGATTTTTTTCTGGGAGAACAGTTCCTGTTCCTTCTTTTCATATGGCCCAAGTCCATCCATAAAGGCACATAACTGCCTCATAGAAGTATAATATGGCTACTCCCATTAACAAATGGAAGTCTTCTCCCATCTGATCATGGATCTCTAGGCTGGCTCATAGGTGAGGCTGTGTTAGTTTTCGGAAAGTTGTGCTTTTTCATTGCTGAAAATAACATTTTTCAGTCAGCAGCTCACAGATCTGTGCTGTGTGAAACAAATTTGGGAGGAATGGAGATAGATTGGTTTTTAGCGGCATTGAAAATCCCACCTAAGATGAGCTTCATGTGATCCTGTTCTGACTCAAATGGCTCTTTTTTTTGTTTGTTTATTTTTTTGTTTTAATCCTTTGTAGAGACCCAAAGATTTCCCACCTGCTCCTCCAGGCTCAGTACCCAGTGGTTGCTGTGGACAGTTACATGCCTGTGGTTGATGTTTTTACTGGCAGCACAAGTGGAAGCCTCAGAGTCATCTTGGCAATGGGATCAGCTGATCAAATAATGGCACTGCAAAGGCTAAAGAACGGAGAAGGAGTGGTACCTTCTGTCCCACAGCGTCCTTCCCACTCTCTGGACCCTCCTCCTACAAAACCCACAATGGTATTTATTGTTCAGTAAATCCCTTTTTATTAATTGTTCAGTAAATCCCCATTCTTGCTGTTAGGGACGTGTGAAAAGGGTTTTACCAGTAGTTCATTAACAGTTGAGTGACCCCCAACCTCTATTTGAAGCTGTTTTGTCATAAATGATCACATTCCACACAGAATTATATTGTTTATATTCTTTTCTTACCAAGTGGCTATCACCAGTCTTGACATTATTGCCCTTTTTGTTTCCTTGCATATCCACTGCTTCTATCTATACAAGTGCAGTAAAAAAACAAACAAACAAACAAATTTTAGAAAATCTTAATTCTCACAGCCTCATTATGAGGTTTTGCCACTACCTTTGAGTTGGATGTGTAAGAACTTTTACGTGCTGAGTTTTGGGGTTTGCAGGAAAAAAAAATTGCTCTCAAGCTTTCAATGTTTCTGTGACCCTGAGGAGGAAAATGGCAGATAATGGCTCTGTCCCTCATCTCAGGCTTCTTAGATTCTCATCATGCATAATTATTTAGGTTGGAAAAGCCCTCTAAGATCATCAAGTCCAACCATCCCCCAGGATTGCCAAGGCCACCACTAGCCCATATCCCCAAGTGCCACATCTACACATCTTTTAAATCCCTGCAGGGATGACTCAACCACTTCCTTGGCCAGCCTGTTGAAATGTTCCCAGTTTTCCTAGAGGGTCATCCTTTCCATGTGGATTCCCTTTGTTTTGTTAGCAGATAGACCCAGAAGGAGAAGATCTGATGGAACACGTGTTTGAGATCCATGTGGAGAGTGTGAAAGGACTCACTCCCTTGCAGTCCACGGTCTGGGGAGAGGCCGACTGCTACGTCCAGTACCATTTCCCGGTTCAGGAGGCTGGTTGTGCTGCACTGCAAGGCTCTGGATTGCATGAGGATGGTAAATTTGGTCTGTAGTTCCTCCTTATTGCATTGCTTTACTTAAATATTGTTTAGTCATTCTCTCTGCCTAAGGAAGAGGGGGTGTGTTTTTCTGAGCATTCATGCAGCCAGTGCTTGTTTTCCTTGTAAGCTGTACTTGGACTCTCACCAAATTAAAAGCTCGGGGCAGTGGTGGAGTCAGCATCCCTGGAAATGTTCAAAAACATGTGAGTGTGGCACTTGAAGACATGATTTAGTGATGGCCTTGGCAGTGCTGAGTTAGTGGCTGGACTTGATGACCTTAGTGAGTATTTTCAACCTTAGTGATTCTATGATTTTCATGGATACACCAAGAGAAGACTTGCTTGGTTTAGATCATTAGGACTGTCATGGAGTGGTTTGGGTTGGAAGGCAATGTAAAGATCAACCAATTTCACCCCCTTGCCATGGGGAGGGACATCTTCCACTAGAACAGGTTGCTCCAATCTGGCATTGATCACTTCCAGGGATGGGGCAGCCACAGCTTCTCTGGGTAACCAGTGCCAGGGCCTCCCCACCTTCACAGGGAAGAATTTCTTCCCAATATCCCATCTAAACCCACCATTTTTCAGATTATAAAAGGGTTTTTAAATAGTTGCAGTTGTAGAAAAGAATGTAGGGTTGATTTGAGGGCTTTGGATCACTAACATGCAATCCCACTGAAAAATGACAGTCAGTAGCATTGTTCCATAGCAAATCCTGTGGAATTTGTCAGCTTTCAGCCACATTTAGCAGTAGTTTCCAGCCTGTGGCTCACAGGATCATGGTGCTGCATGGATTAGTTGGGTCCTGCCTCCTGAAGGATTGCAAGTGGGAAAAGTTTGAAACCCCTAAATGTCACCATTTTTAACCAACACTGCTTATTTTTTAGGCATCAAATTGAAGCCATTTCGAACAGCAACCACTTTGTGTGTCCCTGATCCCGTCTTTAATGATGAGCATCATCATTCCCTGGTGGTTCCTGCTGATGTCCCAGTCCAGAGGCTCCTGGTTAGTGTATTTATGGCCCCAGGAGTGGCTGGAGGAGGAATCCAGTTTGAAGTCTGGTGCAGGTACAGAATAACATCCTATTCTCTGTAGATGGCACAGCAATACAGGTAGAGATGTATTCAAAAGCTGTGGAATGGATATTGCACAGTATTATTTAATAATAACTGAAAAAAATTAAAAGGTCATCGACATTTGATGATAAATATCTGCATTTCCAACCTGTAAACCTTTTTTCCTCCCCAAAAGTGCTAATTACTCTGTTCTTTTTACAATTTCTTTAAAAAATATATGTTCTTAGTTTGCTTTCTTCCACTTTTTTGTCAGCACAACAATCTAAAATTAGTGTTTAAAGGCTTGACACATCTACATTTTACTTAATAGCACCCTGAAAGTATAATTTCATTGTATTGGGTTTGATTATTTTCCTACTACAAAAGAAATACTATAAAAGAAATTATATAAAATGTTTTGTAAGTTCAAATTGTTTCTTTGGCAACCAAAGATAAGTATCAGTGGTGGGAAGCAGAAGCCATGAAGACAAATAGCTTTAGAAAAACACAATAATCTGTTCATTCTGTAGTAAACAAGTCAAGCATTTTAAAGTTTGCGAAGTCACATGAGAATTACTGCAAGTTGTCTATTAGATAAAGTGCCAAAACTCACTTCAGGATTAATGTGAAGCCATGTAACACAGTAAGAAAAGGTCTGGAGTAACTTTTTACACTCACAAATTTATACCACAAATCTGTTCTTCAAGAGGCATTTTCATTTATTGATGGAAATTGAGAGTGGAGAATATTTGGTGCCAGATCCTTCTCTAGTTTTAATTTGGGATGCCAATTTTTTAGTGGAGTTTCTGCTTGTTGACCTGTTAAAACCAGTGAAAAAATATATTTGTAACATTATCTACTCCTTTTCATTATTATTCATTACTTACTTTCATATGAAATTATTTGATTACTTTCATAGCATTAACTTAAGCACTTACTGATTCTTATTCCTGTGAAAAATCATTTCCTTGAGATTTTAGCTATCGAGAGACTAATTAGGGTTTGAAGACACACAAATTAAAGTTGATTTCTGTGCAGTTGTGAGAGAAATGTTGATGCTGCTTCTTTGTGTCTTCTCAGGTATTATTACCCAAATGTCAGAGACCAGCTGGTGGCAAAAGGGACCTTGCCTTTGTCACGGCTCTGTGCCATGGTAACTATGCAGCATCGGGAAGAAATAGGGATACAGACTTTTAATCTTCCATTGGTCCCCCGGACTGATACCTCAGAGGAATTTCATCCACGGTCTTCAGGTAAGGAAGCCTTTGGGTTTTCACTTCATGTGGTAAAACCAGGCTTAGTAGAGAAGCCTAGGGCAGTGTGTGTTAGTAAGGTCCTTCATCGTGCTGCCTCAGGAGAAGCAGGAAATGAAGATCCATGCGGGTGCAAAGACACAAGGGATATGGATATATTAGGAACCACAGAAGTGCATGAGCAGGGTCACATAAGAATTAGAGCTTCTCCCACAAAAAAGGATGTCGAGATCAACAGCCCAGCTGAACTGCTTCTACACCTGTGAAGGAAGCAAACAGGAGGAGCTTGATTTCACTGTGCAGCAGGAATATTGGGCAGACCCAAGCTGACTGGAAGTTGGCAAAAGTAACACCCATCTACAAGAAGGGCTGGAAGGAGGTTCCAGGGACTTATAGGCCTGTGAGCCTGACCTCAGTGCCGGAGAAGGTCATGGGACAGATCATCTTGCACTTGGCTCACGACAACTCCCTGCAGTGCTAAAAGTGGCTGGAAAGCTGGAAAAAGACGTGGGGGTGCTGGTGACAGTGGCTGAACATGAGCCCAGGTGTGTCCAGGTGGGCAAGAGGCCAAGGGCACGTGGTGCCCCTGTGCTGGGCACTGCTGAGGCATCTCCAGTCCTGGAGGCATTTCTGGGCCCCCCATGGCAGGAAGGACATTGAGGGGCTGGAGTGTGTCCGGAGGAGGGAACAGAGCTGGGGAATGGTCTGGAGCACCAGGAGTGGCTGAGGGAGGCTCAGCCTGGAGAAAAGGAGGCTCAGAAGGGACCCTTTCACTCTCTCCAACTCCCTGATGGGAGGGTGGAGCCAGGTGTGGGTCAGGCTCTGTTTCCAGGAAACAAGGGACAGGATGAGAGGAAACAGCCTCAAGTTGTGCCAGGGAAGGTTTATGTTGGATATTAGGGAAAATTTCTTCCCCAAAAGAATTGTCCTGCTGAGAGCAGTGGTGGAGTCTCCATCCCTGGAGGGATTTAACAACCATATGGATGTGGCACTTGGTGACATAGGTTAGTGGTGGCCTTGGCAGTGCTGGGGGAACAGTTGGACTCCCTGATCTTATGGGTCTTTTCCAACCTAATCAATTCGCTGATTCTGTGTGTAAAAATAAAGTCTATTTGCTTCCAAGGCAAATAAAAGTATGTATTTTTGTTGGCAAGTGAAGCCAACCAGGAGTGTTTTTCCTTCCAGCTTTTCACTGTTGCCATAATGAGTGAAAAATCAGGGATTAAGCGTGGGCAACCCTCGAATTCCCAAAAAATTGTATCAAAATGCTTTCCTGACAAATAAGCTACAGCCTGTAGTGAAACTTCCTATGTAAGGCAGGGAAAAGGGGATCTGAAGAAGGGCTGTTTATGATGTGAGCAGAGACATCTCTGAGTTCTCTCGTGGCTTTTTCAAATAACACAAACATCAGCTCTGGGAAGGCCACAAGGAATTATGAGGCAACTTCTTAGAAAAAAGCACTGTGAAACGAGCTAGGGCCAGACAGGTGAGGTCACTGTGCCACAGTTACTTTGTAATAGGTGAGTCACATGCAGCAGCAGAACATCTGTTCATTCCAACATCTCTTGGAAGATTTTGTCACTGCAGTGCTATAAAAAGTTGTGTTGAAATGCTTGAGGAGGGTATTTTAAAGCTCTGATAGTGAGTGCAAATATGAGGGCTTGTATTAAGAGGTATAGCTAAGTATTGATTGTATTGGATGTAACTGTATTAAAAACTGACCGCTTTTTTCCTTCCTTTCTTCCATTTTTAATCCAGGTTTGCTCGATGTGAGTGTGAGATACCAACGATCCACGAAAAAAGCAGGAATAACTGCTGATGCCGTTTCTCTTTCTGTACACATACACAGAGCAGCAGGTTTGCAAGCAGCAGCCAGGTAAAGCCTCATTCAAAAAGGACCATTTTTCACTTGAAACAGCTTTATCTGGAGGCAGCAGGCTGAGGGCATGAGATTGGAACAAATTGTAACTGAACAGCTTTCCATCCGCAGAGACCAAGATTCAAAGTGGGTTTTGCTCTGAAGAAAAATTACCTTTATAAAGTCCATCAGTGGTTATTTTGGCCACTGAAGCTGCAGTACAGGGTGGCAGCATTTGTCCAGTGAGGGATGAAGATTGGAAGGGCTTCCTACATTTCCACATTTTTCTACACCATGGGCTGATATAAAACTGATATAAGACAATACCTATTTGGTATTAGATCTTAGTGTTACTGATGGTATTTGAAAGTTAGCTGAGCTCTGTTTTCTTGCATTTCACTGTGAGAATCTCAGTAAACTAACTAATAAATGAAACATGTTCCTTTCCACCATAAGGCTGCTGCTCAAAGTGCATAGGATCACCTGGATTTAGTTCCAATATGTGATTTTCAAGAATTAGAGAAAAGCCAACACTAGAGTCAATTCCGTAAGAGAAGGATGGCTTCTTTCATTCCAGATCAATGTTCTGACCCTTTCTCAGTATTGCTGAGCTCCTGGTCCATCTTAATTCAAGTAGACCCTGTAAGATGAGGATCCCTGCCAAAGTCAGGGAAGTGATGGAGATGACCTCAGACTCCTCATCGTTCAGGTGTATGACCTCAGTAATATCTGAGTCTGGTTTACTTGTAAATGATTCCATCTGCAGATTTCCCCTCCTTTTGCTCGTCTGCAAAAATAATTTGTCTTGGCCTTTGGCTCCCTTCTGGAGCAGGGAGCAGGTTCTTTGGGAAGTTATTCTAGAGTACAGTGTATTTCTAAGGGTGCTGAATAATTTCTCAACCACTTACACAGGTAAGAGGAGAGCCATCAGCGATGGACCTCGCAATAGTTCCTCTTCCCATTTCCTATCTGTTCCTAGTTTGTTCAGATGAAAAAAAGATGACAAATAATATGCAACCAGAACCCACATCTATTTGGACTTTGAACATTCACTGTTCTGTCTCATCTTCTCACCATGAGGCCTTAAAACCTTTGCTTTAATTGTGTTGACTTCTAGATTCCTTGTACATTATATTAATTCGATTTATTCTTTTCTTTTTTTTTTTTTTGCATATTAAATGAAGAGCTGTGGCACAAAAGAACCCTGCAGTCCAGTACTATGCAGGTGTGGGAGTGAATTCTTATGTCTCTGTGCTCCTCTCCTTCCTGCCTGAGACAGAGACACAAAACACACAAGCCGTGGCTTGTACTTTCTGCCCAGAATTTGAGCATCATGTAGAGTTTCTTTGCAGCCTCATCATTCAGAAAAGCAGTGGAGAATCCTCTAGTCTGGGGGAACTCCTGCAGTCTGGCAACATCATCTTCTCTATCTACCATCAGAACACCAAGTCAGGTGAGGAGTACAAGTGGTAACAAGGACTGAATGCTGTTGCAGAAATCCCTTTAATTTTTAGTATAGAAAAGAGAATAGTCATAAAATCATAGAATAGTTTGGGTCAGAACTTCCAAAAACCATCTGGTCCAAACCCCTGCAATGAGCAGGGCCAACCACCACTAGGGCAACCTGAATTTGAATGTTCCCAGGGCCTGTTCATAGCTACTAGAAGTAATTATCTGAACTGGCTTTGGGAGAGACTGTTCCCCTGGTGCAAAGAGTTTTTAAGACTCTTGGTGATCAAGATCATTTCTTAGATGAAGAGATAATGCATTTAAAAGGATTAAAAGTGTCTTCTGGATGACAGCTGAGCTATTTGCTGTTGAGGCAAGAGAGCTTTTCTTTGAAAGGAGGTACTAAATCTTGAGTTCCAGTATGGTGTATTTACAAAATCATTTCTTTTCCAGCCACTGACAGATTGGCTGATCGGGCATCGAGAGATTATCTCCTTGGGACAGTCACAATTCCAACCAGAGACCTGCTGACAAGAAGATCAGGTAATGCAGCAGCATTGCACTGCTGACATTCTGTGCAAATGCTGTTGGAATTTCTTAAAACAAATTTCATTCCCATTTTTGGAATGAAATGAAATCAAACCCATTTTGTGGTTTGTCTGGGTTTTTTTTAGACCAAAGTTCTTTCAGACCATGTGTTCACTAAAAATCCTGTATTAGAAAACTCATATAAAGGTTGTTTGAAGATCTTTTTTCAGGATGCAGGATGAATAGTAGCTGAAGGAATAATCTGAGGCTACTATGAAGAAATTTAACCACATCTCAGCTAAAACGAGCACCTACAATCCTTAGGATATTATTTAGTTTGTTTATTTTCTACCTTTAAGATGGAAAGTCCCAGAGTTGTAGTGTTTAGTGGAGGATCAGTGATTGCTTTTCAGATGTCAAAGCTGGAAACAAAGGTGTTAGATAATAAGAAAACAGTAGAATTAACTTGTTTGGTTGTTTTTTTTTAATAAGGTCTAAAATATCTCGATGATCCCTGTGGGTCCCTTCCAGCTCAGAACATTCTGTGGAATATCTGTGAAAAAATTATTCACATATCTTTCCACTCATGATCTCCTCTATCTAGTGTTAGTTTGGGATTATTTTGTCTTGTAGTGATGATGTTTTCATTATTGCCCTGGTTATTTCTGCTTTAAGTTCAGTATAGTTCTCATTTTCTCCAATACAAAATTTTGGGGTTATTTTTAATGGGAAGAGAGAAGGAAATAAATGAGAATACCTAATTTTCTAATTCGAGATCCATGGTATGTAGCTTCATTGTAAAATGGGTGTTGTAAATGAAATGGAAAGCAAAGTGCCTTTGGGATTGGAACTACTGAAATTTTCTGAAGTCTAATAGTTGGCTGCTTTTTCAGTTTAGAAATTATTTCATAAATTCCAAATGAGAAATAAACACCTCAAGTTCTGGTCCTTGACTGGTGGCCAGAGAGGTGACAATTCTTCACTGACATTTTCCAAAGGGTAGGATGAGTCTAATGGTGATCTTTCCTCCCGAAGGTATTTCAGGCTGGTTCCCAGTGACCCTCTCCAACAATCCGATGCCTCCACACTGCACAAACATCACACAGGCCATTGTGGGGGGGCTGGAACTTTCTGTTACCTTTGCTCATTGGGGTGACAGAGAGCGTGTTTTGGAAACTGCTAAACTCCTGGGATGGAGCAGTGAGGAGATCCATGAAGACAGCATGGAGGAGAGCAAAGACTGGGAGCAGAGTGCCAACCCAGTGACTGTGACCATCTCCACCCCAAGAGTGTGGCTGCCACTCCACTGTGTGCTGCTGGCAGGCCAGACACACCTCGATAAAAGCACTTTTTGCTACCTCAGGTATAAGCTGTACAACCAGGAAGCCACATGGACTTGCCTTAGGCGGCCAAAATTGAGCAGCGACGCAGAGAATGTCACAGTGAACTTTAAGAAGCCAAACAAGGTGACGCTCAGAAGGAGCCAAGGGCTGCTGTGGTTCTTCAGGGAGGAGAAATTAGAAATCCAGGTGTGGTGGGCATATGGCAAAGAAGATGAGGTGGAAAGACCACTTGATACAGATCGTCTGATTGGATCTGCCTATGTCGACCTCGCAGCGTTGGCAGAGAGATCAAGGAGAACACTAAGTGTTAGTGGTGAGTTCCTGAAGCAGGGTCATGTTCATTTCTCCTTATTGGTGATTTAATTTGGTTCCTTCTCTAGTCACTTTAAGCAAAATGTTTACAGCCTTGCTTTGTCCTGCATAGAATCCCAGAATAGTCAGGGTTGGAAGGGACCTCTGGAGATCATCCAGTCCAACCCCCCTACCAAGGCAGGGTCACCTAAGCAGGTGACATAGGAACTCAGGTGGGCTTGGAATGTCTCCAGAAAGGGAGACTCCATGCCCTCCCTGGGCAGCTATTCCAGTGCTCTGCCACCCTCCATGGAAAGAAGTTCTTCCTCATGTTGAGGTGGAACTTGTGTCTTAGTTTATGGCTTTATGGTACCCATCTTCCACCAGGTAGATTTGTGGACAGGTCATTGGCTCTTTTTTTAAATACACTCAGGAAAGGGAGCAGGTACAAGAGTTAAAACAAGTTTTTATTCTGGGTATGTGTTGTATTCTGCATAGGTCTATATACAATTATGCAGAGTCACTATTCCCAGGGCTCTCAGGAAGTTGATGGGGTTTAAAACAGTAATCTGAGCTGCGAGGGGGAAAATGAAGGTTTACCTAATTTGGGGGATTGGTCATGGATTTTAACCTTTCCAAGCTGATCCTTCTGACACCTCGCATAGAAATTACACTGAAAATCAAAATTCCTTTTGCTGGGCTGCTAGGAGATCTTTGCTGTAGTGAACTATACCAACTGTTTCCCAAGCTCCTGCTTTTCCTTTGGCTTGTTCAGCTGGTTGGTTGTGGATTCTCCTGCAGGGGTGTATCCGTTGTTCAGATGCAACGCTGCAGACCTGGCAGGAGCTGCTGTGCGTGTCCACGTCGGCCTCGCTCCCACTCCTGCTGCTCTGCCCAGTGGAATTCCCTGTGCCCAGGAATGCAGCAGCAGTGAGGATGAAGGCACAGGGAAACCCCCTGATCTGAGCCAGCAGGTCCCTGAAAATCAGCAGCTGGATATTTTAAATCCAGGAATCACCAATGGCAAACCACAGGAAGAAGATGTGATGTTTCTGGAAAACACTGTTGCTGTCAATATCCTTGTAGAAAGAGCAATGCATCTAAGTTTAAAAGGTAATATCACCATCCCCCTTTTTTATTTTCTCTTTCTTTTTTCTTTCTTTTTCGTTTTTCCTCTGTTCATACTCTAGCAAAATTTGAAACTTGCAGCCCCAATCACTGTGTAAGTACAGGAAAAGCAGATTAAACTATTCAGCCTGTCTCCATGAATATTATCCAAAATATAAGTAACATTATGTTCCCTGTTACAGATGACAGCTGAATTCTGAAGTTAAGCCTTACCTAAATAACTAAACCCGAGACTCTCCTATCTTTGCTCTTTGCTTTGAAATTTAGGCTGAGTGTATTAAAATATTCCTTCCTGGCAGGGGATGTTTGGGTTTTGTTGTGCAGCAGTTGGGGAATTCATGGGTTTATGGAGCCTTTTCCCTTGCCTGTAAAGGAATCTCTTTGTTCAAGATGGGTTAAACCCTTTCAAACACCTCAGGGGCTCTGGCCTTCACCCTGGGCCAAAATAGAAATAGGAGTAAGGAACTGATCCCAGGTGAGTTTGCTGGAAACATCTCTGTTAAGATCCACAGTTTCACCCTCCAGGTGATATGCCATGAATATGGCATGGATGAAAGTATGACATGAATTGAAAATTCAGCTTTTTGCCCCTGAGAACACAACTAAAAGTCAAATATAAACCATCATTTAAGTGTGTGTAATTCCAAAAGATTCTGAGCCCTGCAGATGGATTTTTTTGTAATGATTGTAGAATCTTCTGGAATTCATAGTCTTTGGGAAACTGATGTGACATTGTTTGCTACTGCAAAGTTTCTGGTGAGATAAAGGAGGTTTCTTCTGAATATTGCAGAAACATTGCAATATTTCTGCTTTTAATTTACCATTTTAGGGGATTTTTGGAAGTAACTAATTGAGAGGCAATGGATACGCTGAAACAAATATAAGCTGGTTTCAAGAAGAAACTTTGTTCCTTATTACTGTCAAACAGGTGGCTCAGCACGGAGAGTAGCTCAAACACTGGATAGGGTCCTGTGGACCTGGATTTTATTCCTAGCTTTGCTTCTGACCTCTCAGATGATCTTGGGCAAATGGTTTTTCCATTTCTCCCTTGAATATTCCAGTTTCTGCTCTGTAAATGTTCATGTAATATTTGCTCCCATTGTAAACATAAAGGGCTTTCAGCTCCACCAATGAAAAGAAGTATTTTCTAGATGGTGGATTTCTTTGCTAATTGTCTGGTTTTAATTGCTGAACTGTCTTTAGATTTTTTTATTATTACTATTGATAACAAATTTGTATTTAAATTGTGTGTAATTTTAGGAAGTCCTTTGACAGAACGGGAAGTAACAGCCCCCAGTAGCTGTGTATCATTTGCTGTTGCTGGTGCAGATGCTCCAATAACTACTCCAGTAGTAGAAAATACAGACTCACCAGTCTGGGACTTCCAGGAACAAGCCAGGTAAGAAATGGGAACTCCCAGAGAAACACCCTGGATCTGAGAGCCAGGCCAAGTGTGAAGAGGACATGCATGTCATGGAATCACAGGTTTGGGTTGGAAGGGACCTTAAAACTCATCCAGTTCCACCCCCTGCCATGGGCAGGGACACCTTCCTCTAGACCTCAGCAGATCAAGTAATGCATATTCAGGAATATTCAGGAATAAACCTGTGTTTCCAATCTAGTGGCTCTTCTGGCATTTCTAATACCTGAATTGATTCAAACAACTTAAAAACTATTCTACAATTTGACAGTTCAATTTTCAGTTTGGGTTTATTTTATTTCCAGGAATGAACCTCAAACATTCCAGCTTTCAACCATGACCTTGGTACTTTGCTGTCACTGTGTTGTTGGGTCATGAAATAAGCATATTTCTGTTCCTTCATGGTTTTATTGTCCCGTCTTTTAAATATGCAGCAAGAGTGAGGAGAGGGAAATAAGCAGAAACCCAAACCAAGTACATATAGTTATGCTTTGAGGGCTCAATAATTTTGGGGTTTGTTTTGTTCCTGCCCCTATCAGTCCAGAAAGAAACTGGGAAGATACAATGGCATTGAAGGTCCAGAGGCATTTTGCTGTACTCCTTCTTTTTCCTGTTTTGCATAAAATATTATGATTTTTGTTCTTAACAGATTATCCAAAGAGCTTCTGCTGGATCCACAGCAAACCTTGGTCTTCAAAGTGTGGCACAAAGCAGGTAAAGTTTGTGGTACAGTATTGAGAGGAGTGTCTTCTCTGCATCCCTTTCCTTGGGTTACTTGTATTTAATTCAAGGAAAATAAATTAAATAAATCGAAGACTAGAATTGTGATGACATTTTTACCTTGCACGAGAAGAATGCTAGAGATAAATACCTACTGATTTCCCGGCCCTTGGCATCCTCCTTCTCCCTATTAATCATCTTACAAGGTCTGGTTTCTTTGTATCCTTTCAGTTTTATTTTGACAGCACTTTAGAGATTGGATTTTCCTACTGAAGAAAATTCTTTACTGTGTTCTTTCTGTCAAAAAACTCTTTACTCTGTTCTTTACTATCTCTTTCTTCAAAAATGCTGTGTGGTGTCTCTGCAGTTGGTTGAAGCATAACCAGTTGTAACTAAATACTTTTATTTCTTTTTTTTAATAATAAAGTTCAGCTGTCTGATTTTTGCTTCCAAAATAAACTTCCTCAGCCTTCCTCTGTATTAGCCAGAGTAATGTGTGTTTACAGTGATACTCCTGCCAATCCCTCTCCCTTCCCTGGGCTTTCACTGGTTCTGCAGGGACATTTTTAGTTAAATAAGATAACCAAATAACATCCTCTTCTTGGATAGGATTGGTTGTTCTGGAAATTTGGTTTATTTCCAAGACATAATATAAGGGCTGTATAGCTGACTGTGTTTCAGCATTCCTGAAAATGCTTCATTTCAATGAATATGTGTTTTATATCCTTCTTCTCCAGAGACTGAGCGAGTGATTGGATTTGCATCCGTGGACCTTTCCCCTCTCCTTTCCGGCTTCCAGCTTGTGTGTGGGTGGTACAACATCACAGATTTCAGTGGGCAGTGCCGAGGACAGATTAAAGTAGCCATTTCACCTCTCCAAAACATAAATAATCTCAAAGAAGAAAGACAGGCCAGGGCCCGAACCCAGCCAGAAAGTTCTTCTGTAAGTGCTTCCATTTCCTCCCCTCTGATATTTAATCAGATTCCTCCTAATTAGCACCGAGTCTCCAGGTTTCTGAGCAAATTCACAGCATTCTCATGGGCCAGTCTGTGTAAAGGTATCAGAAACACTTAATTCCTTAGGAATTCTGCTCCATGTGTCCATGGGAGCTGCACACCAACACTAGTTACAGCACTCAAACCAAGTCATGGACATTCCCAGAAGCTTCACTCTGCTGTTTGGAATTTTTTTTAGGATAATAATCTAAATAGTGTGGGTTTGGATGTCTGGGAGCTTGGCATTGTTCTGTTCTGTTTGCTGCTTTGGGTGGCAGCTGATGGCCAAAAACATACCATAAATTCAGCCTTTCATTTCTAATTTGGCAGGAATCTGTTTTTCTGGAAGATTTGTCATTTCTTCTGGGTTTTTCTTTATTCTCTGGACTTTCCAGATACACTGGGGTGTGTTATACACATGTAATGGAGCCTCTATCCTACTTTTCATCAGTTTCCTCTTTGATACATGGGAGGAATTAACAGAAGTGTCTGAAATGAGAGTGTTGTGAAATGGTACTTTGGCCCAGTGCTGGAAAATCCACTGAAAATTTAAAGCTATTTAGAAAATGTGAGTTTTTGTTAGTTCAGCAAGATAATACTTTAATTTTTCTTATTTTCCTGCTGTAGAAGACTCGCGTACAGTGTTCCTCTTCATTCTAGGGAAAGGCAAGCTTTCTACCATTTCCTGGTAATGCTGCAAACTTTTCTAAGAAGATGCTGAATTCCTTGTCAAAGGAAGTGAGTGTTTCTACCCAAGAGTGGTGAGTCCAAAGACCATCAACCTTCTTGATTATTTTCAGGGCTCAGATGAAAAAGGCAAACCCTGTCAAAGGTCTTGTTCTTAAAAACTAGAGGAAATTCCCCTTCCTAGTGAGAGGGCAGCACAGGAGATTGCAATTCTGGGACAGGTTCCTTTCGACACAACCCAGATGTTCTTTTTCTTCTCACTGATATTTTCATTTACACCCTTGTAAATTAGGATTTACATGATGCCATTCCTAAAACTGGCAGGTTCTTCTTCCAGGCTCTGATTGTGTCTATCTTTACTTTTATTTTTAATAAGTTAAGAGAGAGTATTCCTGATATATCCCCTTTATTTTGCCATAAATTCTGCCTATGACCAGTAATGATAGCTGGTAAAATGCTGTAGTATTACATATTCCAGGAGTAAGACTGTCAGATATCCTGCAGTAATTCCTTCTTTCTGTTCCTTAAAACAAGCACCAAATATATTTAACTAGTGATAGAGTGTTTTAATTCATGATTTGTTTAATTAGCCTACAGAGATGATCCTTTTCCCACATGTATCTCTGAAGTTTAGAGGGATCATGGTTCCACCATTATGGGATCTGAGCTAGCATGGGAGCTGTCAGTGGGCATGGAAAATTCCCAGCCACACCATTAACTTGATTTTGGTGTAAATGCCATTCCCATAGACATTTGAAAGAATTAATTGTGGCTCTTTAAAGGATTTCAAGACACTGGATGTTCTTAGTTGGCAGACTCTTCACAATTGGAGATTTCAACCTGTTTTTTGGCGTTAAACATAGGGCTGTTTTTAGCAGGATTAGTACGCCGGGAACACACACACCCCGTCATGAAGAGCACATGCAGAATGTGCGCAGGTTCCATGAATCCCTGCAGCAGGAGGGGAACACGCGTCGGGCAGCGAGGCTGGACTCGGCATCACCGTCATCGCGTGTCGGTCTCCTCACTGCCCTCAGGTAAAATTACAAGGGAATGCCAAGCCTTGGGTTTGCAGAGCAGAGCTTGGAAGTGAAGGATCCAATTTCGAAGGACTGGAGTGAAACAGCATTAGCAGTGTTTCCAAATCAGGAGAGAGTGCCTGGATTTATCTGTCCTGTCACGCAACACGTGCCATGAAGCCAACAGTCCACTGAACTGGTTTACAAAGATAAGCTGTAAGCATTTTTATGGTGTGTGGAGCAGGTTATCCTTTCCCAACAGGATGCATTTCTATTTGCTAGAAGCACTTTTCTCCTGACTGTATTCTAGGTTTAAATCAGGTATAATTTAGAAGAATATTAAAGTCTGTAGGACTGAAAGAGACTTTCTGAGGTGTTTGATCTCTTCCCCTGCTACCACAAGCAATATATCTTAAAATCCTTGGATCTTATGCAGGTAGGAATGCTCAGATTTTTATCAAGCTCAGACACAAAATCAGTTAATATTCTTGACTTTATGACTTGTTGGAAGGTCATCTCAAATCCAACTGCTTTGATTAAATAAGTTTAAAACTAGCTCTTTTTTTAACTTCCAGGCTAAGTTTCATGGCTAATTCAGGATTTGTTCATGAGTGTTATCCTCTTACTTAGAGCAATCTCAACATTTACCTACTGATCTATTTTTCAATAACCTTTAATCTTTTATTTGCATATTTACATGCTGTTGACTAGAAATATACAATTAAAACCCATTCACCACAGGCTTTTTTATCCCATTCTTACCAAATTTCTTACCACTGCTTCCAGAAGAAACTTGAATGAGCTGGATGAGGTTCAAAGATACTTCAGCCAGAAGCTGACCAGGTCTTTTCCTGACTTCAGTTACGGCAACACATCCAAACCAAGCCATAAGGAGCAGGAGAGGGACCATCATGGCTCCATGAGCAGAGAAGTGGACCCCAAAGGATGCCATCTTTTGGAAAAATCCAGTCAGTTGGTGTCTCAGGTCAGCAGTCTAATCAATGGTAAGTTGTTGCTGCGAGTAGCAAAATGACATGGAAATCAATTTAAAAGCTGATGCTTTTAAAATAATTTATCAGAAGAGAGAATAAACTGTAGCTCAGAGCTACAATTGCTGCCAGTGGAAAAGTTACTCCATGCTTTTTCTGCCGGTGGCTCCCTACAGGGAAGCAGCCCTTCCAAGAGATGGAGTTAAAGGGCACATCCCTTTTATGCCAGGATTTGCTGTTCTTGTATCACCACCTAAACTTCTCTTTTATTTTTTTTCTCTTTATTCTTCAAGTTTTGCTCTTTTTATTTCCCTTCTTATCCTTAGTAATTGTTTTTCTGATTCTTTACATGCTTTTCTCTACAATCTGCCTCAGACTCTTCCTTCTCCTTTCCCAAATGCCTCGGAATTGTTTCCCATTTTACCTAACACTGCGAGCTGTGAATAGGATTTGCTCACTAGGAACCAAAAAAACCGTGATTGTGGCTTTTTAAGGAATTTGTAAAATTCCTAGAGATTCTCAGGATTGCATAGATGTAATTAATTCCAATCCCCTTTTCCAGGATCTGTGTTAGGAAACACAGCCCTGCTGTTTGCAGCCCTGACAATTTTACCACCACAGCTGAGCAACAGTGAATTCCTGTGTTACAAATATTTCATTAACAATTGTCTATCATTTGATCCAAGTTGGGAAATTCGACTGGAAGCTGGAAAATATCAGTAACAACTGTGTGCATAAAACTGGAGAACCTGTGGAATTGAAAGGTGGAAAGATTATCCTGCCCACCTTTCCTGTCTAGATTATTTCTTTTTCCTTCTCATGTGCTGTGAACTGTCCAAACTGGATTTAACCACTCCAAAATACCAATAGAATCATAGAATTATAGAATCACAGAAGGTTTGGGTTGGAAGGGACCTTAAAGATGATCCAATTCTTCTACCCTCTGCCATAGTCAGGGACACCTCCCACTAGACCAGGTTGCTCCAAGGCCCATCCAACCTGGCCTTGAACACTTCCAGGGCTGGGGCAGCCAGAGCTTCTCTGGGCAACCTGTGCCAGGGCCTCACCACCCTGACAGCCAAGAATTTCTTCTCAATATCCCGTCTAACCCTGCCCTCTGACAATGGAAAGTTATTCCCCCTTGTCCTGTCACTCCATACCCTTGTCCAAAGTCCTTCTCCAGCTCTCTTGGAGCCCCTTTAGGCACTGGAAGGGGCTCTAAAGTCTCCCCAGAGCCAGTATTTTGCCTTTTTCATTGGGATTATCTGGAGAAAGCCAAAATAAATCAATTGTAAGCTGAATTGTTGCTCCATGCGTTCACTGATGCTGTTTTTTGTTAACCAGACTTACAGACCATAACTAAAAATAGCAAAGAAGCTTCTGATGTGCATCCAGACAGCAGCAGGAAGCCAGGTGCTGTGGATGCATCCAGCTGGAAGGAGGAAGGAGCCAGACTCGAAGTCCATCAAGGCCGGCTGGACTTGGACCCGCCCAGAATTTCCAGTGATCCACAGCAGCCGTGCAATTCTGGAAGACCTGTGTTTGAGAGACACATGTTGCACAAACTCCTAGACCCCATTGTCCCTGAAGATGAGCATCCAGTGGATTATATCCAGGACGATGAAGGTGCTTTTGACATCCAGCCACACAGTGAAGAGGAATATGAGGAAGATGTTATAGAGCCACAAACTCTCAATGAAATAACAACCATAACAGACAGGATGAGTTCCTGGTCCAGTGTGATCTCTGAAACTGGGCAGGGGGCTGAGCAGCATTCCGTGGACTCCAGGCCTGGAGATCAGCACTCCATGGATGTGGGTTGTTTCCAAAGGGAAAACAGCAGCACCAGCATCCTGCAAGGGGACAACCAGAGTGAGCTCACCACCCTGAGCCCATCCATGAGCCCCCATGCTGGTGGGAATGGCAAGAGTCCTTGGGAAGCAACAGAAGGCTTCCAAAGCTTCAACAGCGGCATGGAAGCAGCAGAGAAGGAGCCTCTTCAACCTGCTGGACAGAGCCTCTGGGACAGAGCATTTAACTCTGAACCCAGAAAGACGAATGTCGAGGTCCATGCAGGCTCCAAGGAATTACTGCCGTTCCCAGGAGACATGGATTTGATCAACCCAAAAACCAGAGGGAGAGAGGAGGAGGAAAATGCAGAGGATTTAAATGAAGAGCATCGTGACAAGGAAGGAAGTGGTTCTGATGAGAATTGTGTTAGGAGTGTATCAACCCAAGCTGGCTCAGAAAGAAACAGTGAGAGTTTTCCTGATGACGCCAGTGAAGACCCACTGGAAGGGTCAGAAAACTCCATCAAACCAAAAATCACTTTGTATCCTTTTTACTCTTTCCTTAAACACTCCTTGCATTCCCAGAGCGTCTTCCTGCTTACTTAGACTGTCCCTGGCCTCGGGAAAGAGAAATTTACTATGTGGAGCTCTTCCCTGGAAAATGAAGACCCTGTTACTTGTGTTTCACACAATGTAGTGATAACTCTCTTGAAGCTTTTAACCAGTATATTTTGTGATCTTCATTTTGGGTAATTCCAATGTGTCTTCTTGCATTTTTTCCCATGTTGTTTTTCTCCATGTAAAAGAGCTCTTGTGTTTCTTCTGTGTGAAAAGAAATGTGATTTATTTTGCTTTTAAGATACTTCCCAACGTTTCTTGCACAGATCCCAAATCTTGCACTCAGTTCCACTAAGCATTCTTGGAATTTTTGCAGGATGAAGTGCTCTACAGATTTGTGAGGTATTGCTGTAAATCAGGTCAGTGTTCCATGCTCTGTGAGAGAACCAGGCATTCAGAACAATAGAATATTGATTTAAATGAATGAGATTCACTGTCTGGGATCCATTAACAAGCTTGTTGCACATCTGGAGCTGTGTGCAACTACTCGCTGCCAAAGGTTGTTCCTTAACAGCTCTGCTCAGATCTGATCCTGTCATTGTTCCGAACTTCTTCCTCCCACCCCAGGAGATGGAAGCCTCAATGAGACTGCTCAGCACTTCTTCTCATCCTTCCACGGTTCTGAAAGTAAGTATGGGATGCCATTTCCTTCACTGTCAAACTTAAGTCCATTCCTTAAAGCAGGAACAGAAGTACTTCTCTCTTCTTTTGCCTGCCAGTGCTTGGCTTAGAGGTGGTGGCTTCCAAATCATGTCAAGGAGAATCTTTCTGATCCCTTTTCTCTCTGTCAGGATCATTTTTAATGTTCAGTGTTCATAGGTGTGTTGTCTGTGCTCATCAGGATGAAATGAGGGAATTTGCAGCAGGAGAGGCTTTCCTGGAGACGCATCAAGTAACTGTTCTGTGACACAGGGAATAGCAGAATAACTGGCATGATTGTTCCTCCTGCAGCAAAGCTGTGTTTTGCTGAGGTTCACTTTTTTATGTGCATAAATATTTATTTACTGCAAGAGGTTTGTGGCTCAGTCATTTTGAGGTCTACATATTAGTCTTATTTTCAGTACTTTTCATAAAAAAGAGGGAAAGCGACTTCTTACACAGGGAGATAGTGATGGGATAAGGGGGAACAGTTTTAGACTAGAAGAGGAGAGATTTAGGTTGCATATTAGGAGGAAATTCTTTGCTGTCAGGGTGGTGAGGCCCTGGCACAGGTTGCCCAGAGAAGCTGTGGCTGCCCCAGCCCTGGAAGCATTCAAGGCCGGGTTGGATGGGCCTTGGAGCAACCTGGTCTAGTGGGAGGTGTCTCTGCCTATGACAGGAGGGTTGGAACGACATGAGCTTTAAGGTCACTTCCAACCCAAAACATTCAGTGAGTCTATGATTTTATAGAAAAGTTTATTAACTCTCTCATTTTTAAAATCCATCCTCATGCCCCCTCTCAGAGCAGCGTGTGGAAGAGAAGGACCTCAAGAACCGGAAGCCCGAGTCTGATGGAGAAAAAGAGTAAAAAAAAAAAATCTGGGTTTCATGAGGCTCTGCAAAACTCGGACCCCTGGAAGGTGGTCACAGATCCAGGCTGAGGCCTGAGCTGCCGCAGCACCTCCTGAGGTCCCCACATCCTCACAGCAGGAGATGAGACAGCATTTTTGTCTCAAAATGCTGCCAGCCATCCCACCTTACCACTGCTGCATCAGTCTGTGAGGGAAGACTGGGAAAGCAGGGAGTCAGACAAGCCAGAGAGGGGTGGCAGGAGCACTGGAAAAGCCAGGAGAGATGTTTGCCAGCTGCCATGTGAGTGAGAGGAGTCTGGTGATCTTCAGAGAACAGCTCGGATTGCAGCCATGCTGTCACGCTCAGTGTTGGCTGAACTGTGCAGAAACCAAACAGCCCAGGTTTAGAAACTGATGTTCCCAAGGCGAGTTAGAATGAAAACTATGAGAAAGCAGTTTTGGTGAACTCTATTTTACCACTGGCAGCAGCAAATTTTCTTCACACAGGGTGTTTGATGGAGCACAAGGCACAACAGAGTCCTGTCTCAGCAGACCCTCCAAGTGCTGCAGCTAATCCTGGAATGAGGCTGGTTTGAGATTAGCTATATCCAAATAGTGCCTTGCTAATAGTCTATCTAATTATTAATCATTTTCAGGGCTGTATTTCCAGCCACTCAGCTCAGAACTGCCCAGAGAGGGAATTCAAATAAAACTGGTATTAGTGTTAAACCACAGGGTTCCATGAGTTCAGAGCTATTAGATCCTGCCTTATTCTGTTCTGATTCGTCAAGGACACTGTTTCCAGTGACATAAAGGTTCCTTAGAGTGTTCGTTTTGTAGGTCATACAGAGGGAAATCAATGCATCATCTTATCTGGGAGTGATCAACAAACAGCCTGAAAAAGAATCATGGAATCCCAGAGTGGTTTGGGTTGGAAGAGATCTTAAAGCTCATCCAATCTCACCCCCTGCCTTGAGCAGGGACACCTTCCACTAGAACAGGTTGCTCCAAGCCCTGTCCAGCCTTGAACACTTCTGGGAATGGGGCAGCCACAGCTTCTCTGAGCAACCTGTGCCAGTGCTTCACCACCCTTGGGAAGAATTTCTTTCCAATATCCCATCTAACCCTGCCTTCTGGCAGGAGGAAGCCATCCCCTCTTGTCCTGTCACTCCAAGCCCTTGTCAAAAGTCCCACTCCAAATATTTTTTTATTTCTTTCCCCCCTCACCTCTAGGAATATTCCAAAAGGATGAAAAAAACCAGTTTTACTTAGAAAAATTCTTATTTGTGTATAGATAGATTTACCTTCAGTGGGAATTAGACACAACCTTGATCAAATTCACAATAACAGGTTTTATATGTTCTAAAAATGTCGATGGCAGCAACAGCCGAAACATCCTTTTTTGGTTGTGTTATGTCTTCTTGATCTGCTGGGTCTACTTGATTTCCTGCATGGAAAGCAGGAATAGGTGCAACTCCCAGGGGAGGTTGTAGCCTGTTAACACACGTTTGCTCTCCTTCATCCCTGGGCACAAACAAAACCACCAGCAAACCTGCTGAGCCACAGTCCTGAAATATTCCCTGGCTCCAAACCCTACCTTCTCCATGACCTATAAAATGCTCATGGATCTGTTTGCTTTAATCCAGCCCCTGGATAATCCTCAGCTGGTGTCAGTGTCACTGCCATTCCTATAAAAAGAAAAGTGAAGTGTGATCCTCAGTGCACAATCCCTTTCCCAATGGAATGTGGGAGCTTCCTGCCTGAGCACCAGACACTTGAAGTCTGAGAGAGAGAGAGAGGGAGAATCCTGGGGTGGGCTCTGTGTGTGCTCAGGTCAGAGTCTGGATGAGCCTTTTCCTGGGGTGAGGAGTGGTGTAAACACAACATTTTGGATGTGTGCTCTGGAAAATATGCAGGAGGTGAAAACTGATGAGTAGAAACTGCCTGTTCGGTGGATCAAAAGGGAGGTTTGATGTCCAAAAAAAGAGCAATGGAGCTGGGGAAGAGTCTGGAGCACCGGGAACAGGGGAACTGGGGGGAATTCAGCCTGGAGAAAAGGACGCTGAGAGGGAACCTTCTTGCTCTTTCCAACTCCCTGACAGGAGGATGGAGCCAGGTGGGGGTTGGGCTCTGCTCCCAGGGAACAAGGGACAGGACAAGAGGAAATGGCCTCAAGTTGTGCCAGGGTAGTTTACGTTGGATATTGGGAAAATTCTTTCCCTAAAAGTGTTGTCCAGCACTGGCACAGGCTGGAGTCCCATGTGGATGTGGCACTTGGGGACATGGGTTAGTGGTGGCTTTGGCAGTGCTGGAGAACGGCTGGACTCGATGATCTTATGCATCTTTTCCAACCTCAGCAATTGCATGATCCATGACTCTGGTTATCTGTGCGAGCTGGGAGTGTTAACAGTGCTTTTAAACCTCTCTCACTTTGATTCATGCCTGTACGTGTAGAAAAGCAGCAAGGAGAGCTGCTAAACCTTTCCCACAGCTGGAAGTTCATTTTTAGGAACATCTTTGGGATAGATACACACATCCTAACACCTCTGCA